GACGGGAAAACATTAGGCAAAAGCAGGAAGGCGATCATTTTTGTCTTCTGTTTTGTTCTGTCAGTCTCTGCCCGGTGGTCGAACGCTGAACGTCTGTTCTACTCTTTTCGGACTAAATTCGGTAGGTCTCTTTCTGGCTTAGAAAGTGGGGCAGAGACCCGACACAAGTTCCCGGGACTGCTTTGCTGATCCATAATTTTTTAGTTTGTATTTTTGTATGTACATATTTACTTGTGTTTGGTTTGTACTTTGGTCAGTAAGTGATAGTCTTGTAAGGCGTCTGGGCCTGTGTACGTATCAAGTGGTTTTGCTTTTCTATCTGACTCAAGATATTCTGTTACTCTACTCGCATTTCTTCTTTTTGCTCTGATTATTTCGAACTGTTGTTAAACCGTCTACGCTGTTTTCCATTGTTCTGACGGATCGAGCCCTTCCGAACACGGATTATCTGAGAAAGGATGAGCTGGTATACGAAACCACCATACGGACGGGAGTTGAAGGTCCCCGACCTTCAGAAATATTTACGTGAATTAGCCGCATCTTGGCCTTGTACTCCATCGAACCTCTGGGTGAGTTGCGAACCTAGTGTTCGGGCTGACATCACGCCAGGATTATGACGCGCCTACGCCATTTGACTTTCAGAAAGTTTTGGACCAGGCCAATACTGTCTCGCCAGACGAATTGTCTGAGGGCATTTCCCACTTCCCGTCGTCTGTGGAAGAGTTTCATAGCCATCTCTTCAAGCCTTCCCAAGAGTCCACCTCTGACTCTACCCAAGCTCCTGTTTCAGGCTTTGGAAATTCTTTTCTGCGTCAGTAAACACACGCCGTGTCGATACGGGCGTTTCAGTGTACGAAATTATCCAACCCTATTGAGAGGATTTTATCTCGTCAGTCTGTACTATCGGGCGATACATTTGAGTCAGTGTTACAACTTTTGATATTTCTATTTTGCTAATTTTGCACCCGTATGCGGCAAGCACATTGTCCGGGAGACTTAACGAGTCTTTCAGCGCTGCTACGTCTCTGGATAGATTTCAAGTGGACACTCTGGATTTCTTTTCCCAGCCGGCGCTAAAACTGCATTTGGGTCCAACGTCAGGGCGAATCTCTGGCGGACTATATGACCGAAATTATGCTTCAAGGTTTTTCGTTTCATGTGCCCTGAGGCGGATATTGTCCGTGTTATTTTGGATGCTTGACGCCTACTGTTAGGTCATATTTAGTGTTCGCAAAGGAACCCAACTCTTTTGTAGAACTTGAAAACCTTCGTGTCCGGGCATCTAGCGTTGAATATTTCGATAGTTTCAGGGCCTCATTCCTCCAGCCCGTAATTCAGTGGTACCTGGCGACCCCTGTGTGTTTACCAGCACCGCGCACCGCTTCCAGGTCAACAGGGAATGCTATTACAATAAATTCTTCTCTGGCTACCAGCAGTGTAAGGTGAGTTACTGAAGAAAATTTTTTCGAGAACCATCTCCATGCTGTGTCTACCTGACCCAGTTTCGTGTTAATGGCTGCACGTTAGCCAATTGAGCCTGGTGTGCACTGACGTGCTCGCTGATTTAGCCCAGATTTGCTATTGAATAAAATGTTCGTTACCACTTACCACGTACGTCTCAGTGACTTTGCTAAGTCGTACATAGGGAGCCGATGCAGTTAATTGTAAGTCATCGGTACATGTTTCTTGTGAACCTGGGTGGAGCCGACGCATGTAGTATCAACTTCTTCGCGTCCTTTTCCGGGATGTCCGCCTTCTTTATGAGAGCATTCGTTCGTCTCTCTGTTTGTTCCGTTTTTAGCTTCGTGTGTACTGGATCGCTAATTACAGTCTTCATTTTGTTGTGATAGTCCGCACTTGTCTGCGGAAAGTATTTTAATGTCCTTGTCATTCCGTAGGGTGAGCAATGCGACTCGCTCTACCCGTGTTGTGTTCCTTTTTGGGCTTTCGAGTGCCAAAGGATCCGACTGGTTTCTTGTCAAATTTCGTCAGCTGTCCCCGTCGAGAGATGTTGAATGAGATTCGTTTGTGCGTAATTCAAACCCGTTCTTAAAATTGCTTTAGCTGTTGGGGCGAGGGCACTATTGGTGAGATTCACCACAATCTTGTCCGTGTCCCTAACTTTCGTTGACTGGTGTACGTCCCGAAGTCGACCAAATTTGGTTCTGTGTGGAGGTCGTAGGCAGGAGCGTCCAGTGTGCCTGTCTCGCAGTGAAGTTCTCCACCATATCCCAATCATGACGTGTAAGTGCGTCACCCAGCATCAAGTGTACTGTTCGCGACTCTAATCTTGAGACTTGCAAGGAATGCAGGAAGTCCGAACCGTTAGGGCGGCCGCACACCAAGACAAGCATCAAGACATGAGACAAAAGACGCATTCTTGCTTCATTCGTTATTCAAACTCGAGTCCGCACACTGAAGCAGCACGTGTCTGCGTCTTATCACATCTTCTCTAGTTGATAACATGACGTCGTCCAGTGAGGAAGACATTTTAATGTACATGTGGCTGAAAGTACGTAAAGGAAGGAAAAGGAAGTGGATTCATGACTTTAATGAGTCGTGTGCTCAACATGGTGCGTACGTTTTAGCGCGGGACTTGTTAAACGATCCGGTGAAATTTCCAGTCTTATTATCGAATGTCCCCAGAATCCATTTGTGTTCTTACTTTTTGAAACCAAATGTAGCTCTTCATTGGCAGAACAAGTACACTTTAACATAAATCTTTCCGTTTTATGTGTGAGTGAGAGCAGACTTGTACGAAACGAGCTTAAGCTCAATGTGTATAATAGTTAATTCAGTCATTAGCTCATTAAAATAAAATTAATCAGTGCATTTACTATCTATGTTTACTTCTTTTGAAACTGCATGCCAAGCTTTATCAACCTCCTCCTTGTTTGAGTGGCCCGGGGTCGAATAATCGTATATTACCGGGAATTTCTCAACCGTCTGCACTATCTTAATATTTATTTACTCTTCACTCATGTCGATAACTTACACTGGTGCTGTTACTTGAGTACTGATGTCTCAGTCCTGACGCACAGAAAAGGAACATGCCAGTCTCGCTGCACGTGTCTGCAGCATGAAGCTGGCGTCAGCATCATGACTCAGACCGGTCTGCGGCGGGTTTCATAAACTCATTCGTTTCAACTGTGCTCCTTTCTTTGCGTCATGTCGTAGACATCGTGTCTTGACTGTTACATGTCTTGACGCATGCCGGTGTGCGGCCTACCTTAAAAGCTGGACAGACATCAGGTATCAGACTACTACCTAAGCAAAAACATCGACTACTTACTCTATAGTGGCTGTGCAAGCTCCATGTCTTCATCATTGTACTCACTGGCAGTTTCACTGTTGTCACCGTCACTTTGAGAGTCGGTATCACTGCCAGAATTGAGATTAATGACAATACGGTCTATCACATCTGGAAGGATGTCGTCTCTTTCCCAATATTGGCTTTCGACAGTTTCTGTGTGTCCACAAAACCCTTCCTTTGTCACAAGTGCCACTGCATCTTGCGTCACTTGTAATTTTTGCAGGCTCAGATCTCCTGGGCTAGAAAACAGATATTTGGATATAACCTACGTGGATCGGTTCGGTAAAAAAAGGCCACATAGAACACAAAACAAGAGTGAGTATATATATTCGTATATGAACACACGAAATACACAAAATATACACTGGTGGGACGTCAACTGGATGACCAAGCAATATTATAAGCAAAACACCAAACTTATCGCAGCGGACCATCCGCACGGGGCTCAACCACAATCAAAAACAAAATTTAGAAAAAGAAGCCGAGACGGAATTTGTAAGTGTCTCTGGTGAAATCCTCTACAGAAGTAGTCTTCCAGTTACCAGGTAACAGTCCTAAAGAGTGGACGGAGAAGGCAAAGGGGTGGAAGCACGCTCCTGTGACGTTGTTTTCACGCTACTGTCCTTTAAACCAAGCGCGAGAGCTTGCCGTCCAGCTGACCTGACGGGACTTCGCAACATGGCTTCTCTTATTCGGTCCGCATTTTTAGGTGTACGCACTGAACTTATATGTTTACTAGGTTTACTGTCCTACACTGATCCTTCTTGACGCCATTTCGATACCTACAACAGCATAGTATTGCGGCTAGGTGCATCGCTTGTTTGAAACTGCATGTAGTCGGAAACCACGTTTTGTAGCTGTAATTGACTCATTTCTGATAAACAGTTCCACAGCCGCAATGCGCTATTGCACTGACCAGCGCTCTATCTCAACTGAACTCCAAAAAGCACTCTACATGACGAATGCTAGTATGGAAGTGCCGCGTGTCGGGAAAGATGGTAATTATAACCTGTTTGCTGAGACATGAGCTGCGAGATGCGCGTGAGGGAGTTGTTATTATTATTATTATTATTAAACAGCATGCTCCATTACAATACAGAGTAATACCACAGGCAGCTTTAGACACGGATATAATTAATGCTTTGCATGACAAGACATTTCAGAAAATTGCAACAGGATTAAGAGGAATTTGGTATCGCACGCAGGAGTGGAGCGTTCATGTTAAATGTATTAGCCCCGTGAACATTTTGAAAAAAAAAGTTTTAACTCTGTGATTCATTCTCGCTCCATACACTGAAATACAGCTCAGCCGATCAGATAAGAAACATCGTTAGTCAGCTAGTTGAGGCTTACGCAGGCGCAGTTAGATGAGGCAATCCGTAGAACTGTCTTGAGTATATTCCAAGCCAAGATGCAGACCAAACTTCGACTGCTAACACGCTCCTTGCATGCTGGCATTTATCGCGCTTTTGTTTGAGAAACCATTTAAGCGTCTGTCGTGTTGTTACTTGTGAATGTACATAATGAAGT